TAACCCAGACCCAGAAAGACAAACACAAAAACTTATGTACTCACTCATAAGTGGATATTAAACGTAAAGCAAAGGATAACCAGGCTACAATCCACAGCCCCAGAAAAGCTCAGAAACAAGGAGAACCCTAAGAGGGATGCCTGGATCACTCTGGGAAGGGGAAATGTGAGATCTCCTGAGTGGATGGGGGATGGGAATATGAAGTTTTGGGATTGTTGAGTTGGGGGAGGGATGGGGAAAGAGAACAATAAAAGAGATATCTTGATAGAGGGGGCCATTATGGGATTAGGGAAATACCTGGTACCAGGGAAACCCCCAGGAATCCACAGGATGAACCCAGCTAAGACTCCTAGCAATAGTGAAGAGGGTGCCTGAACTGACCTTCTCCTGTAATCAGAGTGGTGAATACCCTGATTGTCATCATAGAACCTTCATCCTGTAATTAATGGAAGCAGATGCAGAGATCCACAGCCAAACACTGGGCCGAGCTCCAGGAGTCTAGTTGAAGAGAGGGAGAAGGGATTACATGAGCAAGGTGGGGGTAAAGATCATGATGGGGAAACCCACAGAGTCAGCTGACCTGAGCTTGTGAGAGAGAGCTCATGGACTCTAGATCAACAGCTAGGGAGTCTGCATGGGACCTACTTAGACCCTTTGCATATGGGTCACAGTTGGGTAGCGTGGTCTATGGGGCCCCTAGCAGTAGGACCAGGACCTGTCCCTGGCACATGAGCTAGCTTTTTGGAACCTATTCCCTATGGTGGGATGTCTTGCTCAACCTTGATGCAGTAGGGAGGAGCTTGATCCTGCCTCAACTTGATATACCATGCTTTGTTGACTCCCATGGAAGGCCTGACCATTTCTGAATGGAGAAGGAAGAGGAGTAGAGGGGGGGAAGGAGTAGAAGGGAGCTGGGAGGAGGGAACAGGAGAAGAGGAGGGAGGGGAAAGTCTGGTTGGTACATAAAATAACTAAAAAAATTAATAAAAGAAATCTATTCAATTGAATTAAAATGAAATTCAATAATGTTGGCAAATGGACATTAGTTATCATTGATTATTCTACTTTTCTCTTTGTACTTCTGTGTTTTACAAATTGCCCATCCCAAATTTGTCTTAAGCTTCTAATCAAAAAATCATTTAGGAATAAAATAAGGAGCTGGAAATGACTCAGCAGTTAAGAGCATTTGCAGACGACCTGTGTTTGATTCCCAGCACCCATGTCCGCATGTCAGTGGATTCACAAACACTCCAGCTACAGGTAATGACTCCCTTTTCTGGCTTCTGGCTTCTGCAGGCACTACACACACACACACAATTTAAAAAATAAATCTTGTTAAATAATAAAATAAAATATACAAACATATAATGCCCCCTAAGAAATATCAGTCAAATCTAGACCAATAATGAATACTTCTATTAAAAATATTGGTTTACACCTGTGGTTTTCAACCTTGGCTACAAAGTTTTCAGCCTTGACTGTGGGAACATTTAAGAAATAGTAATGCTAAGGATGACCCCATATTAGACTACTAGCAATAATGGAGAGGGTGCCTGAGCTGGCTTACCCTGATAATCAGATTGGTGAATACCCTAACTGTGTTGGTATTGTGTTCCCCAAAATATTGTGTACCCTAATAAACTTATCTGGGGTCAGAGACATAACAGCCACTAGACACAAAGGCTAGAAAATGGTGGCACTCACACCTTTAATCCTAGCATTCCAGAGGCAGAAATCCATGTGTTCAAGGATACAGCCAAGCATGGTGACTCACACCTTTAATCCCAGAAAGCGAGCCTTTAATCCCAGGGAGTGGTGGTAGAAAGCAGAAAGGTATCTAAGGCGTGAGGACCAGAAACTAGAAGCATTTGGCTGCTTAAGCATTTGGCTGGTTAAGCTTTCAGGCTTTGGAGCAGCAGTTCAGCTGAGATCCATTTGGATATGAGAACACAGAGGCTTCCAGTCTGAGGAAACAAGATCAGCTGAGAAGTTGGCCAGGTGAGGTTAGGTGTCACTTGTTCTGTCTCTCTGATCTTCCAGTGTTCACCCCAATACCTGGCTCAGGTTTGATTTTATTAATAAGAACTTTTAAGATTCCTGCTACACCTAACTGTCAGCATAGAGCTTTCATCCAGTAACTGGTGGAAACAGATGCAGAGATCCACAACCAAGCACCAGGTGGAGCTCCAGGAGTCCAATCAAAGAGAGGGAAGAGGGATTATATGAGCAAGGGGAGGTCAAGATCACAATCGGGAAATCTAGAGAAACAATTGAACCAAGCTCATAGGAACTCATCCACTTTAGACCCACAGCTGTAGATCCTGCATACAGGAGACAGTTGTGTAGGTGGGTCTGTTTGAGGGTGCCCTGGCAGTATGATCAGGATCTATCCCTGGTGCATTACCTGGCTTTCTGGAGCCCATTACCAATGGTCAGACACCTTGCTCACCCTTGATACAGCAGGGAGGGGCTTGGTCCTGCCTCAACTGAATTTAAGAGGCTTTGCTGTCCCCTCATGGGAGAACTTACCCTTTTGGAGGAGGGGATGGGGGGGGATGGTGGGTCAAGTTAGGCTGGTGGGGGGAAGTGGGAGGAGGGGTGAGAGGGGGAGCTGTGGTTGGTATGTAAAATCAATTAATATTTTTTTAATAAAAAAAAAGAAATAGTGATGCCAGGAAGTCAACCAAAAGGGTTCTTACCTTATGGGCCTGAGATAAAGCCCTGCTTTCAGCTTCATGAGCTCTGAAGGTGCTACTGATAATCATTTACAACATTGGATTGGTGAATGTAATCTCTATAGAGAGATTGCTGTAGAGAGAGGCATGCTTAGAGGTATAAAGGGAAAAATCAAGTACCAGGCAGAAGTTCTACAACTCGAGAGTCCAACTCACGTCCCAAACATCAGATCTGTCTCTGCAGCTAGTAGTTCTGGTTCCTTAACTTGGAACTCGAGGCTAAACCTTGGAATAAACAAATCCAGTTCTAACTTGACATATAGTCTCTGTTCCAAGTTCTACAAATCATGCTCCCCCACTAAGCCTCCACGTAAAAGTCCCACTTCAAAGAACTAGGCTCCAGGCATTTTCTGTTCAGACCAATTTTCTGCATCATAGAGTTGATACACTAATGAATTATGATGATGTATGCAAGCTTTTTACAACAACAATTGGCAAACAGTAAACTCACAATTGCATTGTTGATTATATTGATACTGTTGTTAGTTTTCCTCTCCTAGACTGTTTCCATTGATGCCTTACCTTATAAGAGAAACTTTCAGGCCAGCCACAGCAGCACAGTAGTGCCTGCTCCCTCCACCAGCTCTGGCACCATGGTACCCTCCCAACCTAGAGTTCTTTTGTGTTTACCCACCAAAGGTTTAGTGAGTCTCTAATGTGTTATCAGTCCTGTGGCAGAACTGGGCTACATTAAGAAAAACTATCATAGCCTGGAAAAACACCTCCAATACCTTACCTTATGTCATACACAGAGAGGCAGAGATATGATTGTGAAAATATCTCTAAGTTAGGGTTACTATTGCTGTGATAAAACACCATGACCAAAGCAACTTGGGCAGGGCTGGGGAGGGTTTACTTGGCTTACACTTCCATATCACTGTTCATCATTGAAGGAGGTCATGGCTTGCTAGGCCGAATTTCTTACAGAACCCAGAATGACAAGCCCAGGGATGGCCCCAGCCAAAGTAGGCAGGGCCCTCCCCCACCAGTCATTAATTAAGAAGAATGCTCTCTAGCCTGCTCTTATGGAAGGCTTTTCTCAACTGAGGCTCTCTCCTTTCAGATGACTCTACTTTATGTCAAGTTTAGATTAAAAACTATCCAGCACAACCCATCTAACCACTGCTGAATGATATCTGCTCATCTATCTACCCCTCCTACAGAAGCACCATAGAGAAAATGCCTATTTTATTCTTTACTCAGCTCTCATACACTGGGCTCATATTGGTGAACAGGTCTGTCCTCATCATCCTCATGAGACACCCCCCTTATTTTTAATACAAAGATATATTTTTATTATAAAATCATGTTATGTATGATTCAAAATCAAATATATACATGCCAAGTAAAGATCTGAAATATATTTCTCAAAATTCATATAACTTCTCTTGCTTCTAAATTCACTTTTATATGTTAGTTAACTATTAGATAACTCATATTAAAGTATCTTATTTTTAATTATGTCTGTGCATGTTTGTGCACACATAAATGCAGGTGCCTCTGAAGTCCTCAAGAGGGAATTTGATTTCCTGGAGTTGGAGTTAAATGTGCTTATGAGCTGCCTGACATGAGTACTGGAAAATGAATTTATATCTGCAACAGCAGCACATGTTCTAATATTCTTTACCAATGAGCTATTGTTCCAGCCCCCTGCTACTAGATAATTCTACAATGAAACTTTATAGTAATTTCAAAATCAACACATCTAAAGTGGAGCACATCTTGTTTCTCTCCAAACTTCTTCCATTTGTTATATTCCATGTATCATCTAGTTCCATGACTATTCATCCACTTATTCTAGGCCAACATTTGATGACCATGAATCTTCCATCTTCTGTGATGGCTTGAATTAGAACAGCATCTACAGACACATATATTTTAATACTTGTTTCTCAGGTAGTAGAACTGTCAACTGTTTGGGAAGGATTAAGTTGTATGACCTTATAGGAGGAGGTATGCCACTTCAGGCTGGCTTTGAGATTTCAAAAGTCCCAGGTATTCCCAGTTAATCCTCTCTGCCTTAGTATTGTGGACCAAGATGTAATCTTTCAGCTACTGCTCCGGAATCCTGCTGCCACAATTCTCTCTGTGATGGTTATGGACCCCCTGAAACCCTAAGTCCAAATCTACTCTTTCTTCTATAAGTTCATGTTGTCTCATCACAGCATAGCCCTTTATGATCTAAGATTCTAGACACATGATATGCAGAATATCAAATATATTCATATGTACCATATTATACAAGGAGCACACAACACAGTAACTTTATGTAAATTGAAATGGGTTGTGGATAGAGTCAAAATTGTAGGATGAGATGTCTATACTTAACATAACTCTTAAAATCTCTCACTTGCTTGGTGACTTCTGTGATGGCTAGTTTGTATGTAAACTTGCCACAGTCATTTGGGAAGAAGTATTCTCAATTGAGAAAATTTCCCCACCATTTTGGCCTGTGGTAAGTCTGTGGGGTTTTGTTTCCTGGTTTGTTTGGTTGGTTAATTGGTTGATTTGGTTTAGTTTTTTTTTTTTTCACTGATTGATTGATGGTGTTGGGCCCATCTCACAGGGGGGGCAGTATCACCATTGGGTGTGTAGTAATAGGTGCTATAAGAAAACAGGATAAACATACCATGAGGAGAAGTCAATCAGTAGGCTTCCTCCATAGCCTCGCATCAACCTCTGCCTGCTCTTCTGACTTCGCTCAGTGATAAACTGTGACCTGAAAGTTGTAAGCTGAAATAAACCCTTTCCTCCTCACATTGCTTTTGGTCAAGGTGTTTTATCACAGAAGAGGATACCCTGACTAAAACATCTTCCCTGTTGCATTTCCTTTATGGTACCCTACCTCACTAGTGTCTTGGTGATGTTCTGACCAGGATCTCTGGAAAGCAGGTCAAAGAGGAAACCAGAAGTTCATTGAGAAATTAGGAAGATTTAAATTGTGCCATCTTTGCAGTTTTGCCCAGTGTTCTGATAATAACTAACACCATGAGAAATAACTCTACAGGAGAAAAGTCCACATTCCCTTTAGACGGTCCAGTGCAGTGGGAAGAACTTGATTTGGTACTTGATACCAACAGAGTAGTATTTCTTTGCTCTCACTTCATCCTGCAACTGTGCTTGATGGCAATCTGAAAAGAACAGTAGGAAGGATTAAAAACTTGGGCGTCACAGGCAGCAAGGGGAGAGCCATGAACTATGTGCAATCTCCGTGGAAAAAGTTCCTGCTTGTAAGAGTGCTGATGTGAATTCAGTCTTCAGGACCCACATGATAGAAGGGAAGAACTGACAATAGCATGGGCCTCTGACTGCTATATGGACACTGTGGGATGAACACAGACACACACACACACACACACACACACACTAATTTCTTACTCCTCATTCCCTACCCAGCTTTCCCCATAACACACAGTGGCACACCTGCATATGCATGCACTCTCAAAGGAGAAATTCTCTCTTCCAGCTTTTAGAGTCTAGACCTACAACACAAGTGTCTGCAGGTGCTCAGCCCTCGAACAAATGGAACCTCACACTCTGTTTGGTGCAAGAACAATCTTTTATGGGTGCCCTTCATGCTGTAGTGACAACCCGACATCCTGGCTCTCCAATCCCATTTCAAATCTGTACCACATCAAGGTCAGTATCTGTCTTCCACCGAAGTCATAAATGCATTCTGCAGTTTTAAACCAAATAATAGCCCTCCCATCCAGACAGGGTATGACTTCCACATTATTGCTTTTCTTCTTCTTCTTCTTTTTCTGGGTCTATAACGATCTTCAATTACTGTTCCCTCCAGCATGGGTGGCAAAGCTGTAAGGTTTTCAGGGACAAGCCTTTCCTGCCTACTGTCGCTTCCGGCTTTATTGTCAGCGGCAATTTTAATTCATTTCATTTCTGTGTCACTGTCACTGCAACTTCCCTCTTCGACACTGTGCGGTGTCCCCAAGTTCAGAGTTAATGTAGAAACCTTTGCTTTAATAGAAAAAATAGCGTTCTTTCACTCTCCCCTCTCACATTAATAGAGAGCGAGCCACAGTCGGCTCAAAATTCAGCAAAATAAAATTCCTTCCAAATGCCAAGGGACTCTTCACGGTCTTTTCAGAGAGATGGCAAGACAAGGATTATCATTTACGGGAAACAAATAAAAGAAGATTTTTAGGAAATAGCTGGATTTGTCTTTTTTTTTTTTTTTAAGGCCTGGCATTGGTTTTCTGTTTTGTCATGGATTGGTGAGGCAGGTGACTTTTAAGGAAGGTTTTAATCTGACTCTCCCTCTCCTGTCTCCTGTCCCTTGGGAAAAATCAAAATAGAGCTATTGGCACTTACTTTCCACTTGGTGATGCTTTAAGTTTGAGCTCAGTGTGTGTGTGTGTGTGTGTGTGTGTGTGTGTGTGTGTGTGTGTGTGTGTGTGTGTGTGTGAAGGGAGGACCTAGTACAAATGGTTCCTGCCGACAGTGGATGTGAACTTGTATTGAGCTGAGATGTACAAAATGGTCTCTGGGGAAGAGAAGGGTTCACCTGTGTAAGGTAAATGAATTCTTCCACAGCTTTAGGGAATGGTGAGATTGCTCTACTGTAAAGTGATGCCCCAAAGAGTTTATTATCTTTCCCCCATTTGTAGATCATTTGCCCTGACTTGATATAGAATCCAGTCAATAGTAATGTCTTTTTGGATTTACACAGAAAAATTGGATAAAATGTGCAGGACTTTGTTTTCATTTTGGTATCAATAAATATCTTATATCAAAGGCATAGAAAAAGGATAGCCTTTTTTTTCCCCTTGGTTTTTCGAGACAGGGTTTTCTCTGTATATTTTTGGTGCCTGTCCTGTATCTCGCTCTGTAGACCAGGCTGGCCTCAAACTCACAGAGATCCGCTTAACTCTGCCACCCGAGTGCTGGGATTAAAGGTGTGTGCCACTGCCGGCCGGCAAGGATAGTCATTTTTAAGTGCCAATGTTTGTCTATGCTCTGCTTCCTACCACAGTCTAGGTTTGAGGAAAGAGAGTTAGCAGAGTTGGCCTGTCAGGGCAAAGGAAGAGTAAAACAAGGAGCAGAAAAGAGGAAAATGCTGAGGGCAGCATTTTCTTATCTCTGTTATCTGCTTCCTGTTTCCCTTTGGAACAGAACTTGGAGATGGAAGTCTTAATACAGGAAAAGGATAAAAGAGGGAATCACAAAATTGTAATTATTTCTGGGCAAATGACAGTTTGGCGTAAGGTAAAAATATGGAACGGATGAATCATATAGCATGATCTTTGCATTCTGTGATATATGAGTCAGTAAAGAACTGAGTGAATATGTCCTCCCAGAAATAGGGTCTTGCCTGGCAAATCCAGCAATGTGACTCCATTCCTTCTGGCCTATATCCAAGGTTGGCAATTATGGCTCTTGTCTCCTTATTTTTTTCCCCAGAAAATGCATTAAGCAAACACCTTGTGGTGATAATAGTCAAGGCACTTTCCCAAGCATTGATTTAGCAAATTGTACGTTGGTGACTGGTAGAGTAACTGTCACTAAAGGTTGCCAGAGTCCCCAGGATTGAGCATTGGTTAACTGGTGTAAACTTTCCTTTGTAGATTCTGTAATTTCCAGTAAAATTGAAATTCTAAGAAAAGTATAGTGCCATTTCTTTTCTGTCATCTTATAAATATGGTTTTGTCATATTTATTTTCTGCAGAAAAATTTAACCCCCCCCACGTGGTCAATGCTGAAATTGTAGATTTCTCACTTCCTGTCACACTCATTTTAGAATGGCATCATTCACTGATACACAGGAACATTACTTTATGATGCTATGATCCTCACTCTAAAACACAGTGGGAAAGAAAGAAGAATTGCAGATACTGAATATGTGGGATTTTTATGAGCAATAATGTTTGGAATAAAAGTAATCAAGTGTAAAGAGCAGTTGGCATTAATCAGTAAACATATCTTGGGCCATAAATAACATAAAACTCTAAAGGGCTGGATGATGGCTCAGTTTGTAAAATGCTTTCTGCATAAGCATGAGGAACCAAGTTCAACCCCCAGCACTCATATAAAAAGCTAGACATAGTCGTATGTGTTTTTCATGCCAGGACTGTGGAGGTGGAGGCATTGCTCACTCTGCATTGAGCAAAGAGACAGTAATGCTTTTTGCAAGGACCCTTGTGGGGAAATGAAGAGGAAAGTTCACCAAAATGAACAGAGACGACTGTAAGTATATAGGCCGACCGGTCTGGAAAAGGGAGAGTGGGAGCACTCCTAGGTGTGGTAAAGGCATGTGAATTTTGACTGATTTTACTCTTAGCAAAGATGGACAATCGTTCTAGTTTCTTACTCTACCCGAAGGTTCACAACCTTAGAGTGGAAAGGCAGTATGCAACATGCACACAGAGACACTGAGGTCCCAACTCAGCCTTAGAAAAGAACCCACACCAGACTTGACACAAAGTGGAATGAGGCAGATGGCATGTACTCTGATCATACACTTCTACATAGGAATTAAAGTGAGTTCCACAATGTTGGTCTCCTAATATGAGATTCATGGGCAGCATTTACCAGTGGCTGAAAGAAAGAAGGTCAAGTACTTGTCTCACCGGCCTAGTGAATGGCTGCTCAGATTGGTGTTTCAATTTTATAATTTCCGCTGGGTTGTGTTGAATGTAGAAATTAATTGTAAGAGAATAAGCATGCGCATGTATGTGGGAGAGTGTGTGCAAACCATGTGCACACATGTGTGCATAAAGCAGAGGACAACGTCACGTATTGTCCCTCAAGAGCATCATCCACCTTTGAATTTCTAAGATGGGATCTCAGCAGTCTGGAGTTCACCAAGCAGACTAGACTGTTTGGTCAGTGAAGCACAGGCATCCTCCCATCACTGCCTTCTAGGCACTAGGGTTACAAATATACACTTCCCTGCCCAGTCAATTTTTTATAATGGGTACTGGGGATTCAATTCCCACCGTAGGTGCTCATGTTTGCAAGGCAAACACTTTGACTATCTCCTCCCCCCAGTCTACCAGAGATTCAATTTTAATTAGAAAGTTACATAACTTATAACCTAGTATGATGAAGACTAATCAGTAGCCTTGATATTTGTTTCATCTGCTGTATTTTTATAAACTGCAAGGCAAGTTTATAAAACCCACTCTATTTTATTGATCATGAAGATTGGGTTTAAAGAGTTCAAGTACCTTGACTATGATCACTCGCCATGAATGGCTGGCCTCTTCTTTGCACCTGGGACTACGTACTCTGGGACCTCCACTCTCAGTTCCCTCCCTGTGCTAGGCAGCATTGGCTGAGATGGAAACTGCTGCTCTTCTGCCAGCATGGTGGAGCACTCTTGACAGCATAGCAGGTCATCCCCATGTATAGTGTGGCTGCTGCTGGACCCCAAGTCAATAGCAACACAGCAGAGTTGCATGGGATCTTTATAAACAGGATCCCACTTGATGTTTACACTGAACTCCTGCAAAGTGTCACTACCTGAACACAGATGTCCCCACCCATCACCATTTTATAGAAAACAAAACCAAGGTATTAAAAGGGAGAAATGCTAGGAAGAAAAACCAGCAGGTAAGGGGTTGGCCATCAAGCTTATGGACTTCAGCTAGATCCCCGGGTCAGGTCCCACTTAGTAAAGGGAGAGAACCACCTACCAGCCATTTCCATTGACCTCCACAAGCATACTGTGATATGTGTACACATGCCCATGCTCATGAGTATGCCAGGCATGTGTGCGCACATACTATATTTTCTAAAATTTTAAGATGGGGTAAGGAAAGGGATGAAGGCAGGGATCAAAAATAGAGAGTTATCTAATTTGATGGGAACCAACACCTTTTGACTTTTGGTTCAGTACTTTGTTTTCAAGATAACAAAATTGTAAAAGAAAAAAAATAAGAACCTTGATTGCACCTTCCTAGAGCTCAGACAGTGATTCAGTGTTTGTGCAGTGAGACTGAAAAGGCAAAGAGCGCCGTGTGTCTCCTCAGAATGCCAACAGACTATAATGGAAGCAGGGGAGAATGGGTAAATGTCAGCCAAGGATCAGTGGCTCTGTGAGGATCACTTACCTTTTCAATCCATATCAAAATCCTGCATCCAAACTGTTAATATGCCATGCGTACAGATCAGTCCCCAGCTCCATCAACATCTTCAATGAGGCAGTGGTAGGTCTTCATGTCCGATGAGGATGATAATCTGAGCTTTTAATATTCTATCTCCAGGCTGTTACTACAATGTGAGGAGGACTGTTCTCACTTTTCTTTCTTCCTCCTCTCATATCTATGATCTCAACAGAAGCCACATAAGTGCCTGGGGTACTCAAAGGTAAAACTTAGTTACTCACCCTTAGAATGTTATTTTTTGTGACCCTCAGAGTCAGTGAGTCAGTCTATTCCATTTGTGAAATGCCCTGTAAACTGCGACCTTCTCATTTTTCTCCACCACCCCCATTGATGTTCCCTTAGTTCTCATTTACAGTTTTCTCTTACTCACCCTTGACATACACACACACTTATTTTCATCTGTTTACCGGCAATGTTTCCTACTTCAGTTATGTAAGACTGTTTCACCAAAGTTGATATCAATAGAAAATTTTAATCGCAACATCTATCTCTTGCTTTAAAATACATCCAATGTTGTTAACAACCCAATTCCTCAGCAGGGCCCCCAAGGGATTTACAGAGTTGTTCTATTTTCCCATAGCAGTCCCATTCTCATGCCCTTCTGCTTCTCTACCATTGATCAGTGCATCTTACGTCCTGATTGTTCAATCTGGTGTCTTTTCATAGTCCCTGTCTTTGTCTTTATTTCCCTCTTGTCTTAAGTTCTCCAGCTTACTCCTTTGAAATAAGCTGGAGCACCATGACTAACTCCTTAAGCATTGTCAGCCAAAGCCACATTAGAATTACACCAATACTTTGGCATGAAAGCCAAAAGCAGGGCTTAGGCTGTGTTCATGGGAGGATCCTCTGTATCTAGATAGTATTTTGTAGCCCATGAGTGGAGAATCTGTAGAAGTTGTTTGTCATAGGAGCCAGGTTCATGGAAAGGGTAAGTCTAGACACCAAGGAGATCTCCATTTAAGGAAAGTGATATTGAACATACTACACTGTGTGCTGAGATATTTTCTCCTAGTTCAAAGCAAACTTGAGCTCTTATTGGAATGCCTGGGAATGAAGACAGTTAAAAAGAAAGTTTCTTCACTGACAGCTCTAAAAACAGAATTACTAAAAACTGGTCCATGGATTGTCTGGACAAACCATGTGAAGAAAACAGCACTCATTCCAGCACTTGGAAGCCCAAGGCAGCTGAATCTGAGTTCAACATCAGCCTGCTTTGCACAGAGAATTCCAAGGTAGCTATGGATATATAGTGAGACCCTGTCTGAAAAAAACATTTTTTTACATAGAGCATTTCACAAACTATATGGATGTGCTGAAGTAGCTCCCAAATTCTAGATGCAGCTTTAGAAATAGCAGTGTTAGAGATGTCCATTATGTGTCCTTCTGTGGGAAATGGAGAAGGAGAGAAGAAAAGGGCTGCAGAAGCCTTCATTGTAGCTAAGAATGAATATAAGATTTTAGTAGCAGATATCCCTAAAAGCCACTATGGAAAGAAAGAAGAAATGTGGGCATTGCCACCTGATAGTTCAAAAAGACTCTAAAGAGCCCAAATAAGGGCTTTCTTTCAACCACTTAATACTTATTCATGAGGACTGCCATATGCACACACCATGCTCAGTGCCAAAACAATAGCAGAGAACAAGACAGGATGAGGAAGTGAAGGTGGATTATAAGCCAGTATACAAGCAAGATGGAAAGGCCACTCCAGATATCAATCAATGCAGTGGGGAAAAAAACCCAGACTAATGTGGTGGAGAGGTGGAGGTCACGAGAGGTCCCAGTAATGCCATTTGAGTTGAGTGACAGAAATCATAAAGGAATCAGCCTCAGGATGATTTGGGGAGAACTGTCTGGTAGAGAGAAAAAGCAAGTCTCCAAACCATAGATAGCAATAGATGCGGGCATTTCCAGGGTCCAGAGAATGTCAAAGTAGGAACTACAGTGGGTGGGTGAGTGAGTGAGTGAGTGAGTGAGAGCATGGCAATGGGTGACTCATGAAGATAAAAAGGCTCTAAATCATATATGAACTTAGAAACCATATTCAGGATGTTGAACCTCCTTCTGTGTATAGTAAAAAGCTGTTGGGAAGTTGTAGCAAATAATCTGTGTGATCTGAAATGTATCTGTGTGTTTAACTATGGTTGCTCTGTAGGTGAATGTTTTCCTGTGTCCTGCCTGGCCTGCAGTCAGGACAAATCTCTCTCACCTGCTGGTCCCACAGCTGTTTGGACCCAAATAAACACACATAGGTTAATATTATTTTTAAACTATGGCCATCACAGGCTTCTTGGTATCTACTTCTTATATCTTAAATTAATCCATTTCTATAAATCTATACTTTACCATGTGGCTCATGGGTTACTGGTACCTTTACATCTTGGTTCTTCTGGTGACTCTCTGTCTTCTCTCTCTCTCTCTCTCCCTCTCTCTCTCTCTCCCTCTCTCTCTCTCTCTCTTTGGTTTTTCGAGACAGGGTTTCTCTTTAGAATGTCCTGCCTAACCTTATTCTGCCTCAATATTGGCCAAAAAGCTTTATTTATCAACCAATCAGAGCAATACATTTTCACAGGATACAGAATGACATCACCCATCATTGCTCTGCAGAAAACAGAATGTGCAGAGAATAGGAAGCCAGGAGAGATAGAGACCATTATAACAACGGTGTCAGTCTTCCTGAAAAATGACAGGGGTGCTCAGACATCAGGGACAATAAAAAGGTAAAATATTTGGTTGAGGTGGGAAATAAGTTGCAGATGTGAAGGTAAAATTTGCTGACATGTGGAATGTTGGAATGGAGAGAGTGCAGAATGAGAAAATGTTCCAATGACTCTAGCTAAAGTAACTTCTATAGACATGGCTGACTATTGGGAGGCGAGGAACAGAAAGCATGTAGAGGAACTATTAGAAATTGGAAGGGAGATATTCTTAGGTAATTGGAAAAGAAATTGAAAGACATTGAGAAGTCAGGAGGGAGATCATGGCTTAAGTTTAGACTGTAGTTAAGTGGAAACAGTCCCATCATAAAGGGGGGGGGGAATTTAAGGAAGGAACAATAATTCACAACCTGATGAGAACCTGCTGGTTGCTCGGGAAACTAAGAGAGAAACATGTATAAAGAATGAAGGGAGGAGCAGGAGAGATGGCTCAGTGATTAAAAGCACTGGTTGCTCTTGCAGGGGACAAGAGTTTAGTTCCCAGCACCTATTAAAGCTGGCAACCATCTGTAACTCCATTTCTGAGGGTTCTGATACTTTCTTGAATCCTTGCAAAACACTCATATATATAAAACAGAAAATGAATAAATCTAAAAAGAATTTTTTAAGATTGAAGGGAATTAATGAGGACTAAATTGGAACAACAGGATTCTGGAAACAGGAAAACCCTGTCAAATTGGCACATCCCCTTTTTCTTTCTTCCTGACATTTCCCTAACCCATGATTTTATAACTGCACAGTCACCTGTGTGCCTTTTGTTGAAAAGGGTATTATTGTCTGGGTTCCCTTTCTGTAAATGGAAGTTTCTGCTCCACTATCAACTCCCAAATACCCAGCAACTGCTTCCCAAGTAATTGCCTCGAAGGCTTAATATTACTTATAAATGCTTGGCCTGTAGCTCAGGCCTATTATTAACTAGCTCTTACACTTAAATTAACCCATAATTCTTATCTAAGTTTAGCCATGTGCCTTGGTACCTTTACTCAGTATGGTCATTCTCATCTTGCTTCCTCTGAGTCTGGCTGGTGACTCCTGACTCTACCCTTTCTCTTCCCAGAATTCTCCTAGTCTGGCTCTCACACTCTCACACTCTTCCTGCCCAGTTATGAGCCAATCAGCTTTATTGTTAACAATGAGCATAATCCACAGCATTTCCACCTTTTTGTCTAATAAAAAAAGAAGGTTTTAACCTTAATGTAGTAAAATTATACACAACAAAACAAGTTATCAAGTAAGAATTACCATTAGTTACAATATCTTTGTATTAAGCAAAATTAAATACTCACCTATCTTATGTTTGTGAGTCTAAGGTTTTATATCTAATTTACCTTTTATCATAACTAAGGAAAACTGTAATTATAATTATCTAGTCTTCAACTCCATCAAAGACTCCAAAAGGATATAATATTACCTGAGTAAACAGGAAGTACATTGCAAGCAACTTCTAAAACTCTAGAATTGACAGAGACATCTGGCTGCCTGGTCAGTCACCCAAAGTTCTTCTGAAACATTGGGGCCATTGCAGCCCATTCATCTTGAACTTTTGTGGCAACTCCATTTGTAATTACAGGAATACTCTTTGGATGTTTTATGGTTTGAGTCTGAAGTCTGAAGTATCCCTGATAGGCTTATGTTTTGACCCTTGGTCCCTAGCTAATATGCTATTTTGAAGGCTATAGAACAATTGAGCCACACCATTAAGTGTAGCTAGAGGAGTTATTTCTCTAGGAACAAGTCTTTGAAGGTCAATAGGTTGGCTCCTGTTTCCATTCTACCTACCTCTGCCTTGAGGTCTACACCATGTGAATAAGCATAATGCTGATGCTATAGCTAAAGCAGTGAGATTATGATAGGCGGTGACTCTCCAAAACCACAAGCCCAAATAAATCTCCCCCTCCTTAAATTATCAGGTATTTTGTCACAGTGATAATAAAAGTAACACTAGGTAGAGCTGAAAAACTTTAGAATTTCTTTACTCAATTTACAATATCTGTGAAATTTGAAAAAGATAGAATGGACTTTGGAGCTAGATTTCAGAAACTAATTAAGTAAATGAATAAAGTAACTTTTCAATTATAAAAAGTAATCTGTTAAAAATCTCCTAATTATGTATATAAGGTATAGTGCACAGGCTTCTGGGACAGGTGTGTCAATACTACACAAATACAACTTTCTCTAAATCCAAAACAATTTGATTTAGCATCTGCATTAATAAAATCTGCTGCTTCTGTGGCTGAATGCCAGGTGAAGAGGTAGGTTGCATCAAAAGAATTCCAGAATGTAGAATTGAATTTGTTAATGGGCAAAGGATATATGAAGTGATTGTACATTATAGCTGTTGTTAACCTAAGTCTCTGCAGCTGTGTACACAGATCACAAAGGTGTTGCTATC